GGGTATGAGTTGCCACTCCAGCCACTTTAGAGTGCTCCTGTGTAAGTGAGCGTGTCTAGGCACACACCGTGCGGAGACGCTCACACAGTGCTTAAGGAGACGTTCACAAGCATGCTCGTTGCAGTGTTTTTGTAATAATAGGTTATTATTATGGGAGAATGGGTAAATAAACCGAAGCAGGTTTGTACAAGGCAATACCAAGAAGCAGTTAAAATGGATGAGTTAGGGCAGCCTGGATGGCTCAGCAGTTTAGCGCTGCCTTCAGCCCAGGGCGTGATCCTGGAGACCCGGGATCGAGTCCCGCATCGGGCTCCCTGCCTGGAGCCTGCTTCTCTCTCCTCCTGTGTCTCTTCCTCTCTCTCTCTCTATGTCTCTCATGAATAAATAAATAAATAAAATCTTTAACAAAAGTAAAATACAACGGAATATTATTCAGTCATAAGAAGGAACAAAGTTCTATTTAATGCTACAACATGAATGAACCTTGAAAACACTATGCTAAGTGAAATGAGCCAGATACAGTAGGACACATATTGTATGATTCCATTTATATTAGGTACCTAGAATAGGCAAATTCTTAGTGACAGAAAATAGATGAGAGGTTATAGGTCTATAGAGATAGGGGAACAGGAGTTATAGCTTAATAGTTACAGAGTTTCCATTTAGGGTGATAAAGCTTGGCAATATGTAGTGGTGATGGTTGCACACCTGAAAATAATTAATGTCACAGAATTACACAGTTAAAATGGCAATTTTTAAAATATATTTTTTATTTTTATATATTACTAAAATTAATAATAATAATATATAGCAAAAACCACTGAATTTTATACTTTAAGTGCATTGTATGGTATATGGCTTATATCTCAATAAAGCTGTTGGAAACACTGGTTGGCTATACTTCAAAAAAAAATAAAAAATAATAAAATAATAAAATAAAATGGATGAGTAGAGTTACATGTATCAGCCTGAATTACTTTAACAAACAACACTGAATTTAGAAAAGTGAGTTGAGGAAAGATAGGTACTCATACAATTTATATGAAGTCAAAGAACACACAAGTAATGCCATGTTCATACATCTGTATGCACTGAAGGTACAAGCATGCAAAGTCTGAACCCCAGGTAATAAGTGTTATCTCTTGAGAGAAGGAGCCTGGGATGGGGAAGAAAAGGCATAGCACTAGGGATGTTTATCTAAAGAAAATAAGAACTGAAGCAAAGATGACAAAACATTAAGATGTCAGGAGGGTGAAGTATGTCTGTATTATCTTTTTTATTTCTTATATAATTAAAATTACATAATTAATGATTACATATTCATGATTTATTAAAATGGGGAGAAGAGGGCAAAGGGAGTTAATATATGACCACAATGAAGAGAAAGCTTAGCAATGCAAGGAAAGTAAGTATTTATTGTAGCGCTGATGCCTGGTCCTGGGAAAACCATGCTAAATGCTTGCCGTGGGTCCTTCCCATGGTGGTCTGTGGTAGAGACCTTCCTTTCCTACCTGCACAGTTAATGCTCTTTGCTCTTCTTTTTTTAAAGAAGATGGTATTTATTTATTTGAGAGAAAGTGAGGGAGCCCTAGCAGGGGAGAGGGAGAAGCAGACTCCGCGCTAAGTAGGGAGCTCGATGTGGGACTCGATCCCAGGACCCTGAGCAGGATCATGGCCTGGGCCCAAGGCAGACACGTCACTGACAGAGCCACCCAGACGCCTCTTTTTGCTCTTTTCACCAACTATGTGTATCTTGGAGATCACTTATCCAATAGCTTCTGGCAATTTTGTCTCAAGAAACCTCTGCCTTATGAAGATAAGCACAACCGTAGCTTCTTCAACACTCAATTTTGGAATCACTGATCCCAGATACATGGGATGAGCGTTAGATACTAACTTGTAAAGACAGATTGTGTTCAGACCCAGATCAACCTTGGAAACACAGTGTGTTTATATTCAGATTTGAAAAGCTCTTTTCCCATTTCAGGTTGTCAAACAGTTGAATATATTAATCTTGGGACCAGGGACAATGTCAGAGTGAACGTCTGTGAGCGATTCTCACCCTTAAAAGAAAAATGCACTTTTCATGTCCTTGGGCAAAGCAGGGATTCGGTGCTGTTGCTACTTTTACAAGCCACTCTGTGGAGACCGTGACTGCATCTTGGGGTTGCTGTTGAATCCAGATAATGTTAATTTTGTCCTCATTTGTATGCTATTCAGTTTTATCAAACCAAACATTTGTTAGTGATTTTTAGGAAGGCTGGTAAGATTGTGACTATTATTTATGAAAATGGGGGAAAGCTCCTTTTAAATTACCTGAATATTTCTTTGAGCCAACGAAAGAAAAATAAAATTCATGAAGCAGTGAAGGGGGCCTTGATGGTTGAGCTACAGTCACCAGGTGTCTGGCCTGGCTCTGACAGAGGTTGTTGTGGGATCACAATGAGCCTGGATACACGGAGCATGGAAAGTCCCTGATCCCTGTCATTACAGAGTTTGGCTTATAGCCCACTCCCCTCAAAGATGGACGCTTCTGGCATTTCTGCTGTTGTTTTCTATTCTTGTTCCTCCACTGGGAGAGAAATCCAATGGATTTTTGCTAGTATTTTCTAGAGCTGAATTTGGGAACATCACAGGACAAATTCCTCATGCAGGGTCTATGGGAAGAAAGGAACCTTCTTTATCAATCCAATTAGTAGTTCAAATATCCCCTATACCCACCTGTGTTCTCCTTCGTGGTGCTCATTAGACCTGGAAAGGACAGGAGTTTAGAAGTGCTAGGTGGGAGTCCTTTGTCCGTAAGCTTCTCCAGGGCCTCATGGTGGAGTTCACACAATGGTGTTAATGATGCCAAATTCATGAATTGGGCGGGACAGTTGAGAAGGGCTTTGGGTTGTGTGACCAAAAGAATCTTTAACGAGAATGAACAATTATTGCCCCACAGTTTCAATTTGTTTAGAAAGCAATTTCCTATCAAGTCAAATAAAGTCAAATACATACCTACTATAAACCCCAGCAATTCCACTCCTAGATATTTACCCAAGAGAAATGAAAACATATGCCACCCAAAGGCTTGTATGTGAATATTCACGGTAGTTTTATTCATAATAGCTAATAATCAGCAGCAGCCCACGTGCACGTGTCCATCACCTGGTGGGCAGGTGAGCACAACATGGTGCATCCATTACTGTGCATAGACACTTCGTGGCACATCCATGCAGAGGATCCTATTTAGCAATACAAAGGAATGGAGGATGGATGGACAGCGCAACATGGATGACTCTTCAAAGCATTCTTTTTTTAGATTTTATTTATTTATTCATGAGAGACACAGAGAGAGGCAGAGACACAGGCTGAGGGGGAAGCAGGCTCCCTGCAGGGCGCCCAGTGCAGGAATCGATCCTGAGACCCCGGTGTCATGACCTGAGCTGAGGCCAGATGCTCAACCACTGAGCCACCCAGGGGCCCCTCCAGAGCATTCTTCTGAGTGAAAGAAGATAGACAAAAACCATTGCATACCATATGATTCCATTTATATGAAGTTCTATAAAAAAGCAAAAGTTTAGTGACAGAAAGATTACTGGTGGCCAGGGCTCAGGGATGGGAGAAGGGATTGACTGCAAGAAGCCGGAGGGAACTTTCTCAAGTGATGGAAATTTCCTATAGCCTGATTGCAGTGGTGGTTACATGACTAAATATATTTGTCAAAACTCATAGAATTATATAGTGACAATAGGTTAATTTTACTGTAAGTAAATTGTGCTTCAGTATAAAGCTGATTTAAAAAATCGAAGTAGGTAAAAATCGTTGGTTTGTGAAAATGTAGAAGATGTAATGTTGAAAGAGAAAAGAGCAATCTTCTATTACAAATCAACATAGATCCCCTTTACAGTTTATATATTTTAGTTCTAGCTTTTGAGTAATGAATTTTTCAGCCTCACCTTTTGCAGTGAGTGAACCTTAGTCCCCGGTAACTCACACTTGCTAAGAAGTCCTCCTTACAAACATCGTGTGGTTTCTCTCTTTGCTGCTGCTCATTTATGCTGAACGCCTACCTGGAACAGTGTCCTCCCTGGCTCCCCCCCACCCCCCACCGGTACTCCCACCTTCTCTCTCCCCCACCTAACTCCCACCCACCCTGGGAGATCCAGTTTGGAATTCACGTTCTTTAGGAGGCTCTCCTTGCTTTCTCCTCGCTCCTGCACATTAGGACATCTCTGGGCAGCCCCGTCTGTATTTACCAGGTTATGCCACAATTAGCTCTTTATGAGTTCGTCTTACCATCTTTTAGAGATAAGGCACCGTATCCTACACACTTTCTATCCCAAGTGCCCACTCCATTGCTGATGGTCAGTGAGTGCTGAGAATGAGTGAATGGGAGCGCCTCATGGAACCGTGGCGAGGCAGAGTGAGATATTGGGGAGCACAGAAAGAAGAGAAACTAGTAGGGTCCCAACCTCTCAGTGGTTGGAGTGACTTTGGACAAGTGGTTGAATGTGTTGGCCTTAGTTTTCCTGGGTAGACAGTGAGGGATATAGTCTTGTGCACTGGGTGGGCTTGCTGGGAGACCTGAGTGAGAGGATGTATATGGAAGTGCTCTAAGAGTAACACACTTTGCACACGTGTATCATCGGAGGAGTGTCATTTCTCGGTCCAGGGTGTAGCGATGCAGACCAAGCCAAACAGGTAGAGTCTGTTCACCTTCACCTGTTGACTGCTGAGCCTCAGTATTACAGTAGAAGGTTTACCTGACTCCCTGGGCATCTAGTTAGGACCTCCTGTTTGTGAGAGGCGGCCATAGACTCCTCAGATCCATTCACTCCGGTGTTAATTTTGCGCCGAAGCAACTGCCAACCAGTCTGTAAAATTTTTGAAGATGTGGCTCCCGTCTTATTTCTCTTTGGGTCCTTTGAGTGCTCGATAGAAAGCATTGCACCCAGAAATGTTAAAATGACAAATGAAATTGAGCTTAACCCACAAGTAAAGGGGAATGTTACTCAGTTTGGATTTAGACTACAACATAGCTGTTAAGTGCTGTATTGTCATTCCCTCTGCTCAAAATAAAGTTGTTTCTTGACTGTATCTGTCTGCTATTCCTCTGTAGCAGCCAGGGACGCTTGGCCTCATACATGTCGGTAATAATAATAATAATAATAATAATAATAATAAAAATGATAATAATAGAAATGTTATCCAGTTTTTTAAAGAAGGCTACATTTCATTTTTTTAAAGAAGGTTATCTTTCAAAATAAAATTGTAATTGAATCTCATTTTGAGAGTCTGCTCAAATAATTTATCACTGAAACTTTCCAAGTTTAAGCTAATAAGATGTTCCAGATCTTTGAGGGACTTTGAGTATCTTTGGAACTCTTTATGACTAAAGAATTTCACTGTATCTAAGATCAATTTTCCACAAATCTTAAAATTTGAACTATAGCTTATTATCAGTATGGTATTCTTTATAGCATTTTATAGACATTTTTATTTTAAAAAGTAATATTTTACCTTGATTATAGAAATAAGGGGACCGTGTCTTACTTTTAGGTAACAGAAAAAGCACTAGGCCCTTGATTCACTGTAACTGGCTAGATTTATCATTATTTTTAATTTTTACTAAACTTATTAATTTTTCTTAAAACAAAATGGGATAAAATCTAATTAGGTGTATAAATTTTGAGGTGCATTAAGAATTCATCAAAATAATATTATGGTTAATATGACTGTTTTCAGACACAGAATAAAAAGTAAATGAAATTGACAAGAAAATGTTAGATACTGAAATATTTTACTGGTATGTTACACAAATATTTAAATTTATGAGATATAATTATAATAGAAAGCAAAAAGTCTATATTGTAGTCATTATTAATAACTGTGTTTCTACTCCAAGGTGATTTAAACCTATGTTCTAATTTTGGTAAGCAATTTAAAATCATTTGCTGCCTTGTTGATTTAACCTTTCAAATATGTCAAGGGCCACTAACTTCTTGCAACATTTATAGATATTTATCCAAATGTGTTTTTGGTTAGGATGTGAAAATATTTGGGGAATAAATCCAATACTTGTGCTTATTTACTTTACATAAATCGCATTTCCCCATGAGTGATGGTGTAAATGGGAGTAGGTAGAAAGAAAGAGGAACTTGAATATAAGCCAAATGTTTGTTTATGGGATTTATTTAGAAATCCGTTAGTGACTGTGATAGTTGGAAGATTAACCCAACAACTCCTTTTCTTTGTGGATTTTTATTTTCATTTACCGTTATATAGTCTTATGCGGCAATTCTCTTTGGAGTACCCAAAGAGAGATATTATATTTTTACCAAATGGATTCTTTTCAATATTCTACTATAGCAGTATTTGCATTTAAGAACACTACTTTATTTCAGTATAGATTTTTTTTTTTACACAGGTATTTTTCTGTTTACACTCTACCCTCATCCCATTAAAGAAAAAAAAAAGCATCATAACCTCTCAGACTTTCATATGCTTTCAAGATGGTTTGGCATCTTTACTGGGTTATATGCCTTAGCAAAAATATTCCCCAGCCATTCATCTTTAATTACATTTAAATTTACATTAAAATTTAAAAGAATTAAAAGCACTTTAAAAAGCGGCATGTCTATTCACTAAACAGCATGTATTAATTTATAACTGTTTATTGAAATAAATGTGGTTAGTCTATGTCTCTTGCCTCATGCATAATAAAGAACTTCTCTTTTTGAAAGTAATTGCTGTAAAATATTGCTTGAGGGGTTGAAATGCTAGTGTGTTTGGGAGGTAGTCTCATTGCTCTTGGGCAGACTGTTCTGAACGTCTCAGGTGCAGCCATGAAACTGGGTCAGGGGGGTTGAGGTCAGGCAATGACAGGTGGTTAGGAGGGCTCCTTAGATAATGAAGTCCTTGAAAGCAGGAATGGGGTCTTGATCTTTTGTAAAATCCTAAGGGCCTGGGGCAGGTCCCTTCACAGGGGAGGAAAGGACAGCGCTGCGGCCAGAACAGCCAAGACAACAAACAGATCCGAGCTTGATCTTAGAAAATACTGAGTCCCTCTCAAGGTTTTCTTCTAAAGCTGAGCTGGTATCTGCTACTTCTTCTCTTCATAAAAAAAACGACATATTCATCTTAAAGAAAGCAAAACTGTTTATCATTAAGCCTGACAGTGATTTGGGCCCTCATTCAAGCGGAAGAGTTCTTCCTATGATTTCGGTCCTGTGGGGTGAGGTCAGAAGGAGGTGGTTATAACACAAGTTGTGATTCCGTCTTGTCCTTCTCCTACTCGTAAACCTCCACTGTTCCCCTCCTTTCCCACAGTGACAATAGGAGAAAGTCCAGATACTTCAGTGTAGATGGCAGGTGGAGGGCTTCTAGAATTTGGCTCCAAACTACCCATAACTTTTACCATCTTCCAACATGAACCTCAGTGCGGCTCAGCCATTCTCCTATTTGATCAAGAGATATTCTAGGCACTTCTGATGGAAAAGGAGAGAAAAAAACTAAGACCAGAAGTGGGTGAGGCCTGGGGATGGCTGGCAGAGATGAGCATCCAAGCATCCAGGGGGACGCGGAGAGCAGTGGTGCTGCCCACACTGACAAGCTCTCCACGGTGCCTTTCCAAGGTAAAGGAACAACTGTGCGTGTCTAGGTGACTCTGTTCCGACCATGTGTTATTTCTTGATCCCGGTCTGTCGTTTTACTTACAGATCAGGACATATTCTGGGAGTTGACGGATTAGATTCTGGAAGAAGGAATCCAACCCAAAAGACAAGTAGGAATTAGGTGAGAAACTCAGGATGCCAGACTGTCACTCTGGTGTTCAGGGCTGGACTTGAGTCCTTGAGGAAATTACCAAGAAAAACAGGACCTGGGGGTATGTGGTCAGACTGGTGTCAGGAGGTGAGGGATGGAGGAGGGGCGGTTAGGAAGATGGTGGCTCACGCCGGCACCCAGGACTGTTGTCACCCCTGGCATCCAGGTGGCAGATCAACGCATCGTACCATTCCACCCTATAGGTGAGCGGCTTTTGATTCTGGCAGCTGGACCGGGCAGGTTCGTTCAGGATTGACATCCTCTTGCTCTAGATCCTACAGGCACTAAAGCAGGCCTCTCTATGATATTCGGGTAGCCATATATTGCATGCAATTAATGATTTCATCGCTTCCAATTAATTTGTTACTTTGGCCTAAAAAAGTGTCTTATATTTATTTTTTGCTCTCTTTAGGTCTCAAACAAGGTATCACACACTTCTTGAAGGAGTAATACATTTTTGGTCGTTATTCTATTTACCACCTAAATCGAGGATGAGACCAGACAATAGACCTAATTTCATTTAAGTTGGCTTTAATTTTTTAATGGACATAAAATCAGTCTGTTGGTTTCCTTAAGCTCTATTCCCCCACCCCACCCCACCCCACCCCCATCAGTGAAATACAAAACTACAGGGACTCTGTATTGCTTAGAATGTGGATGGTGAGTGCTGTGGAGGCAAATATGCGCCTCGTTATTCTGATTATTTTGGAGACAACACATTTTTCACTACAAAGACTAGAAGCTGGAAAGCCAAAGATTTTTCATGCAGAACTGTGAAGGAACTCTGCATGGATGCACGCTCCAAGGGAGCTTTCATTCTAAGTTAAGAAATTTAGGCTACATGGAGGGGAGCAGTCAGTTCGCTTTGTAAAATTAGTTATTAGGGCTATGTAAGGGTTAATGAATGAACTACACTAACCTGAATCTAGATATGTGCGTTTGTATAGATCTTGCTCTCAGCATATACGTTATTTCGGTAAATGATTTTTTTAAAAGATTTATTTATTCATTCATGAGAGACACGGAGTGAGAGAGAAAGAAAGAGAGAGAGAGGCAGAGACACAGGCAGAGGGAGAAGCAGGCTCCCCACAAGGAGCCTGCTGTGGGATTTGATCCTGGATCCCGGGATCATGACCTGAGCTGAAGGCAGGTGCCCAACCGCTGAGCCACCCAGGCTTCCCCCAGTAAATGATTTTTAAATATCATTCTTTCATTCAGTGAATAGATGTATTGAGTACCTGCTTTATGCCAGCGATGTGCACATGCTGTTGGTACAGAAACGAGGACTGTATAGTTGCTGATATCAGGGCTTACAGCCCTCACAGGCATCATAGGATTCACTGCAGGAATACAAAGATGAGTCCTGAAGCAACTGCTGCATGAATTAAAAAAAAAAAAGTATATTTATATAATAGAATATTATTTGGCAATAAAAAGGAATGAAATATTGATGCATGTTAAAATATGAATGAACCTCAAAAACATCAGGATAAGGGGAAAAAGCCAGTCACAAAGGACTGCATTTGGTATGATTCCATTTACATAAAATAGGCAAATCCATAGAAACAGAAAGTAGATTAGTAGATTGGAGGTGGTGGTGGGACATGTGGAATGGGATGTGTCTGCTCATGCTGCGGTGTCTGTCTTGGGGGTGATGGGATGTCCTAAAATTTATTGTAGTGATGGTTGCATACCTCCGTGAATACACTAAAAACTACTGAATGGTACACTTTAAATGGGTGAATTGTATTTTAAGTGAATTTAATCTGAATAAAGCTGGTAACAACTAAAGTCAGGGAAAGAGGGAAGGAGTAAATAATGGAAGGAGAAGATAGATCGTTCATATAACTTGCCCATGAGAGGAAGTAGAGAAAAGGGAGAGTGACAAAGGGATGTGTTTTATTTCTATATTGATTATCTAATTTATACAATAGTTTTAAGTTCATGTTCTCATTTCATCCTCACAACATGGCTGTGAATTTATTATGTAGATAAAGTGCTGGAAGCTTGGAGAGCTTAAGTGACTTGCCAAAGAACATACAGCTTAATAAGAAGCAAAATGGGTAATTAATTAAACTCAATTTTTTTTTTTAGGAAAGCAGAGCACAAGTTGAAAGATTGACTCAGAAAAGAGGGGTGATGCCTACTGAGGTAGGAGAGTAGGAGGAAAGACTACATGAGGATATGGATACTGAGAATTCTCTGATTCCAGAAACTCTCCTCATCCAACTCACATTTTTTGCACGGCTTACTTTTATGCTTTTGTTGGCTAATGTATTAGTATATTAATGTAATTTTTTGCCTAATATATTTGTAGACTAG